TTTTTCTTCGCCCTTTGCATTCAAAGAACGGATTAAAAAAATGATTCAACCTCAGACCCATTTAAATGTAGCGGATAATAGGGGGCTCGAGAATTGATGTGTATTCGAATCATAGGAGCTAGCAATCGTCGATATGCTCATATTGGTGACGTTATTGTTGCTGTGATCAAAGAAGCAGTACCAAATATGCCCCTAGAAAGATCAGAAGTAGTCAGAGCTGTAATTGTGCGTACCTGTAAAGAACTCAAACGTGACAACGGGATGATAATCCGATATGATGACAATGCTGCAGTTGTTATTGATCAAGAAGGAAATCCAAAGGGAACTCGAATTTTTGGTGCAATCGCCCGGGAATTGAGAGAATTAAATTTTACTAAAATAGTTTCATTAGCTCCCGAGGTATTATAAAATGAAATTGTGATCTGTTTCGAGTGGGGTATTTGAAAGAAATAGATTAATTAGTAGATTGTGTCTCACGCATATATCTTTAATAATTCATATCATATTCAAAATAAATAAGTAAAAAACACGTTGATTATATCAAATTTGGAGACCCCAATAATTTTAGTTCATCATGGGCAGGGACACTATTGCTGAGATAATAACTTCTATACGAAATGCTGATATGGATCGAAAAAGGGTGGTCGAATAGCATCTACTAATATTACCGAAAATATTGTTCAAATACTTTTACGAGAGGTTTTATCGAAAACGTGAAGAAAACATCGAGAAAACAACAAATATTTTTTGGTTTTAACCCTGCGACATAGAAGAATAGGAAAAGACCCTATAGAAATATTTAAATTTAAAACGAATCAGTCGACCTGGTCTACGAATCTATTCTAATTATCAACGAATTCCGCGAATTTTAGGTGGAATGGGGATTGTAATTCTTTCTATTCTCGAGGTATAATGACAGACCGAGAGGCCGACTAGAAGGAATAGGTGGAGAAATTTGTGTTATATCTGGTAATCCTTTATAATATGCAAATTGGATTCGAAACTTCCTATTTGCGAAAAAGAAAAAAAGGGGGGAGAGTTTCTAAT